CTTTGAATGAAAATTTTGTCTATTTCTTTGCCGTCTAGCAGAATAGAAGCTTCTTGATTCCAATATAGATGTAAAAATCTCAAATCCCTATCATCTATTTCAATCATGTCTAGATACTTAAATAATCTATCATGTTGGATCCTATCAAGGGCCGTTTCAAAATCTATAAAGCAAACCTAAGTTATTTTCTGTAATTGCCATGATCTTTGAAGTAATGTTAACATTTAAACAAGGCTTCCCTTGTTCCCAATGCTTCTCTGAAACCAAGTTGTTTGTTTCCCACCGTCTTGTACATTTATATTAAGTTCTTCATTTGAGGTAGTTTCTGATGTTTCCAGTTCTAGCGTCGTTTGTTTTTCTTCTACATAGAGCTTTTTTAGGTAGTAAATCCATGTATCCTTTTCTATTGGTTTTGTTCCTCTAACTCCGTTCTTTGACTTCTTATGAAGCGCCATATTTCCTTTTGTAGACCATAAAAATCATGTTCCATTTCTCTCAAAAATCGTTCCAAGTGATCCTTTTTTATTTTCCTACAAGTGCGTGTATTTCGTTTCTAATTATAGTTTATTCGTCTTCCGGGTTTGGACCGTGTGACCCAAAAGTGGGTTCATCTCGACATTTCGCTACAATTGTATTCTTCTTCAGGAGAACAAAGAAAAAGAAATCAAAAGACAGGAAGATGGGCAGTTAGCAACGGTAACTCAGTTACTCTACGCAACCAGAGGCGAATACTAACTACCAAGATGGGCATTTGGTCACAGTAACTCAACTACTTAACGCAGCCAGAGGTGAAAACCAAATGCCAGGACAGGGATTCACGTCCAACAGCTCAGAACACTAACGCGTCGAGAGGCGGGGAGTGAATCCCTTAGAACAAAGAAAAAGAAATCAAAAGACAGGAAGATGGGTAGTTAGCAACGGTAACTCAGTTACTCAACGCAACCAGAGGCGAATACTAACTACCAAGATGGGCATTTGGTCACAGTAACTCAACTACTTAACGCAGCCAGAGGTGAAAACCAAATGCCAAGACAGGGATTCACGTCCAACAGCTCAGAACACTAACGCGTCGAGAGGCGGGGAGTGAATCCCTTAGAACAAAGAAAAAGAAATCAAAAGACAGGAAGATGGGTAGTTAGCAACGGTAACTCAGTTACTCAACGCAACCAGAGGCGAATACTAACTACCAAGATGGGCATTTGGTCACAGTAACTCAACTACTTAACGCAGCCAGAGGTGAAAACTAAATGCCAGAACAGGGATTCACGTCCAACAGCTCAGAACACTAACGCGTCGAGAGGCGGGGAGTGAATCCGACGATTACTCCGCTACCGCTCTATTTATAGATCGAAGCATCTTTGATGCTCTTGAATCCGAGTTTTGACGGAACGACCAGGTCTTTTCTCCCATTCTGCAGTTGCAGAACACTGCCAAGAAACCGGTCATTCAATATTGTTCGAAAAAACCCATATTATTTCTAAGAGCCCCTTCTTTTATTCCAGGAAAATCCGCGAATCTCTAGAGATCCGAAAAAATCCATATAATATCAATCGAGAGGAAGGATACTACTTGTCTCCCATCTGGAATCTCAGTCTAGAGCCGCCGTCCGGTCCCGCTACCACGATGCAGCCACATGATTGGCCAGCGCGCGCTTCTTGACGTTCGCGCCACGGAGTGTGCCGATACGTCCCGACACGACAGGTCATCGCGACTATAAATAGAGCGGTAGCGGAGTAATCGTCGGATTCACTCCCCGCCTCTCGACACGTTAGTGTTCTGAGCTGTTGGACGTGAATCCCTGTCCTGGCATTTGGTTTTCACCTCTGGCTGCGTTAAGTAGTTGAGTTACTGTGACCAAATGCCCATCTTGGTAGTTAGTATTCGCCTCTGGTTGAGTAACTGAGTTACCGTTGCTAACTACCCATCTTCCTGTCTTTTGATTTCTTTTTCTTTGTTCTCCTGAAGAAGCTACATACAATTGTAGCGAAACGTCGAGATGAACCCACTTTTGGGTCACTCACAAATGACACGGTCCAAACCCGGAAGACGAATAAACTATAATTCTGACTCTGACCGTGGAAGCCTACGATGTATTTCGTTTCTAATTGTCTTATAATTATGGTATGCCCCTTGTGTTTTTTGTTAACATGTATTTTATGTAAGCTTTTTTCTTTTCTTCACATTTTTCCTTTACTTCTGTACAAAACCATGGAGTTCTTCGCATTGGAAAAGATTTATTTTTATTTATATTTCTTTCACCAAGAATTTCCTTAGCCGAGGCTAAGATATTAGACTTCATTTTTGCCCAGCTTTCTTCGACTCCATCACTTTCTGTGATATATGTGTTTTGCTTTTTTCGCTTATTATTTCTTGGAATAGTTTCCTTTCAGTTTCATATATGTAGTTATTAATGTTTGTTAGTTCTAAGACATTGTCGTCATCTAGGTTTGAACCAGTCTGATGGTATTTGGTCAATGGTAAAGGCCTGAAGATTTCCTATTTTTGCTTTGTTTGATGGCTTTCTTTCCTTCCGCTTTTAAAATACTGGGACCAGTATTTATTAGTATACTTTGCAGTTTTAAGTGGTGGCCTCATATTCAGGAAAAAGTTCCTTTATTAACCTTTATTAAATTGGTCCATTTTTTCTTTTTTTCTTTTAAGTCGAGAATATGGAGTTTCTCAGAATTAAAATGGGACTGTCTAGTCTAGCCATTTCTAGCTGAAAATTTTGTAATTACGTAGCAAACATAGTTGTTACGTTTCCACGTAGCTTTCTTGTGGAGTTTTACTTGGGTTGACGACCTGTTAGGTCCCCTGTCTAGTTTTGATCTTTTTTCCCTGTCTGATCTTTGATTCCGAAGTCCATGATCATTAAATGTATGTAGTTTCTTTGTCTGCCATTGAAAGCTGTACTGGCGATATCCACAGGGATCTTTAATGTAGTGGTTTCTTCTGGTTTTCTACATCCTGATGCCGTTAATCATTTCTTGGTTCCTCAGCCTTCGAGATCGATTTTGCTGTCCAAGGACAACGAGATGCATGTCGTTCATTAGAAGCATTTTTGGATCCATTTCTTTTCCTGTCGTGTTTATGCAACCCAATAACTCTTGAAGGCTCTGGACACTATCGCATAAAATAACAGTGTCGTCAGAGTATCTAAGATTATTAGTCAGTTCACCATTGGTTTTTACTCTAAAGTCTTAATCTTGCAAAGTCAAAATCTTGCTCATATTAGACTTAATTTTTGCCCAGCTTTCTTCGACTCCATCACTATCTTTGATATATGCGTTTCGGCTTTTTTCGGTTATTGTTTTTAAGTTATTTATTTCAGTTTCGTATATTTAGTTATAAATGTTTGTTAGTTCTGAGACATTGTCGTCATCGAGCCAGTCAGATGGTATTTGGATAGAGCTTCCTTATTAAATAAGTCGAAAATATGGAGTTTTTCAGGTAAGGATGGGAATGTCTAGTCTGGCTATTTCTAGCTGAATATTTTGTAATTTCGTAGCTTGAAACATAGTTGTTACATAGCTATCTTGTGAACTTCCACGTGGGTTAAAGACCTGTGAGTCCCCGTGGTCTTGTTATGATCTTTTTCCCCTGCCTGATCTTTGATACCGAAGTCCATAACATTAAATGTATGTAATTTCCTTGCCTGTCATGGAAAAAAATGTACTAGCGATATCCACAGGAATCATTAATGTAGTGGTTTCTCCTAGCCTTTACATTCCGATAACTTTGACCAATAAGGACAACGAGATGCATGCTCTTCATATCATCGTTACCGGATATTGGCGTACAACATGGTTATCCTAACTTTGCTTGCTGCTATTCTGAATAGTCCGGTTGTCGATGTATTAAACCACTTTCTCAGGTTTGAAGCCAAGATATTCTTCTTCTCCCTGGTCCTCTCTTTCCAAATATCTTGCCCTGAAGAATTAGTTGCAACAAGCCGTATCTCTGTTCATTCCTCATAACATGGCCAAGATATTCCTAGTTTGCGCTCTTTGATGGTGTTAATAATCTCGCATTCCTTGCCTATTCTATAGGATATTCTATAGGTAGGACCTCAACATTAGTCACACGATCCACGCATGAAATTCTTAAAATACGTCTGTAACACCACATCTCGAATGCCTCGAGTTTTCTTAAAGAAGATTCGGAAAGTATATAGGCCTCTACTCCGTATAATAAGGTAGAAAATATCATAATGAGAGAGATTTTGGTAGCAGGTGGTAAGTCGTGACTTCTGAAAAGAGACTTCATCATTATGAACGCTGATCTCGCTTTTCCTATGCGTTGTTTTATTTCACTGGAGTGATCCCATTGGCTGTTAATGTTGGTACCAAGGTATGTGTAGCTGTCCACTCTATCAATTGGAGTTTGGTTAACCAAAAGCTGTGCATTTAATATTTAGCGCTTACTGACTACCATGTACTTTCTTTTTTTCGTATTAAGATCAAGTCCGTGTTCTCTACTTATAGTCTGGTATTCGCGACATTATTCTCTGCAAACCATCCAGACTATCTGCAAAAACTACTGCGTCGTCGGCATATCTAATGTTATTTAGAGGCATTCCGTTGACTAATACGCCTTTTTGTAGTTCTCCTAGCGCTTGCTCGAAGATATATTTAGAGTATACATTAAATAACACCGGGGACAGAATGCATCCTTGCTTCACTCCTCTATCTATGGAGACTGCCTCTGTCAATTGGTCATCCACTTTAATATTGGCTGTTTGGTTGTAATATAAATTATAGATGATTCTCAAGTCCCTATCATCTAACCCCACTTCTTTTAAGATGTTTATAAGTTTATCATGCTTTACTCTATCAAATGCATTTTTGTAGTCGATAAAACAAGTATGCACATCACAGTTAACATCCCTGCATCTTTGCATAAGCACTTGGACAGCGAATAGAGCTACTTTGTCTACCACTGTTGCGGAACTTTTTTACCTTTAACGTAATTTTTTATTATTCTAGATATACATATTTAAGAGGCCAAAACATCCCCATCGACTCCATAGAACTGGCTGAACGGGAACGAAGAAGACAGTTAGCTCTAGCGCATCAAGAAGCAATTCGTCTACAGTTAGAAGACCGAGAAAAAAGGCGAAAAGAAGAAAAAGAACGACGAATTAAGGAAGAATACGAGGAAGAGCTAAGAATAGAGCGAGAGCAAGAGATGGAAAGAAAAAGGAAAGAACAGGAGTTGCATATCTTGCAGGAAAAACAAGAGAGAGATAGAAAACGCAAAGAGGCGATACAAGAGGCGATCGAGCTGGCCCAAAAAGAGGCGCAGTTGGTAAAAATGAGAAAAAACAAAAATCACTTTATTAATACGGATATAGACGAGAAGAATTCTGAGTCTAAAGGTAAATTTACAGAATTGCCAAACGTGGATAAAAGTCCTGAGGTATCTACATTTGATAATAAAGAGAAGAAAAGTAATAGCGATCAGTTAAATAATACAAAAATATTACCTCCACGATCTGATAGTGTTAACAATGATATAAACAATAACCTAGAAATAAGAGGTAAAAGTATATCTCCTCGCCAAATTAAGGATACTGAAAATAACGCCAAAATTGTTTCACCCAGAAATAATACCATAGAAAATCAAACACCAACGCCATCTACCTCGTTTACAAACTTACTCTCAACGCCAAGAATAGAAAACAATTTGGCTCTTGTCATTCCTGCCCCTATAGAAAACCTACAAAATCTTCAGTACGCTTTACTCATCCCCACCACGCCTCAAAATGTAACCATCCCTATGAAACTTCCTGCAACAGAAGTAATCAACAGGACAGAAAATAGAATCTTAACTCCCACTCAGTTTAGAGATAAAAATAAGAAGTTTTGCGATAGCAGCACTCAAACAGATGAGTCAATTTTCGTTAGAACTGAATCATCTTGTGATAACAGAGAAAAAATTACAAGAGAAAAGTTAACGAATTTAGATTTGTCATACGACAATCGAAATAGAAAAGAAAGGAGAAGTAGAAGTGAGAGTTTAGAAGAAAGGCCCAAATGGGGAGTAAATAGACCCCCAACAAGATATATTAAACAAAGTGAGAAAGATCCTTTATATCAAAGACGAAAATTAAGACAAAAACAAAGAGAATCAAAGACTTATGACGACAAAAATTCAAGTGATGAAAGTCAAACAGCCTCACCTCGATCTTATAGGAAGAAAGGATGTATGGATAAGAGACATTCTAGAAATCAATGGAGAAAAGACGAGATTTTAACTAGGAATATTAGAATGTACCAAACAGAAATCATTCCCTTAGAGTCTGACAAGGATCATATATATTACAAAAGGTCAGACTGTTGCTGTTTTTGCAGATGCGGAAGACATAGATGTTCAGATGGAAGCGTAAAAGTGGACATTCTGAAAATAGATCATCATTCTCCAAGAGATGTACATATGGAAAGAACTGATAAACTTCCAGAACTAGATGTTAACGAAGATATGTTAGATAAACTGTCCAGTCTACATAATGGTTTGCTGATGAAGCAAGAACAGTGGGAAAGTATGCGTATGCCTTCTCCCGCTGCGTCTACAAGTTGGCAATAAGTTTAAGAGACTTACAAGTAGATAGCAAGAGTTTAAACAAGGTATAAGACTGATATTACTAGCTTACCCGAAAAGGTGTGCAAATCGAATGGGCACTGGAAGAAAGTAAACGAGAGTGCAGCAATAAGATATCGATAAATAGGTTTTGGTATAGATCTTTGTGAAATAAGAACTTAATGTTTTAGTTTATTACCACCGACTATTATAGTACAATTCTCAGTTATATTAAAATATTTCTATTTAGGATGATTTAAAGTTCAAATCCTGGATGCTATTATTTCTGGTATCACAAGGAAAATCTACTTCTTTATAGATATTATAGATTTTTTTAATATTTAATTTAATCAGTATTTCAATAAATAATTGTGGCAGGTAATCAGTTGATGTCATTTGTTTCTGCGAACCAAAAAAATATCTGTGAGATAATAAAGACTAAATTTTATTCATGATTTTTAAAAGAATTCCACCAGACTAAATTTTATTGATGGTTTTTAAAAGAATTCGTCCAAACTGAGCGTTAAGTGATCCTTGCGTCAGACAGTTTTCAAATAGATGATGTCGATATCGGAGCATCCATCCGCCTATGAATTCTTAAAAAGGCACGTTTGTTTTTTTTCGGCTAGCCGATCCCAACCTTGACTTTACTTGTAAAAATCAACGGAATATTGGTTGATTAGCAACCAAATATACATCTCTTTCCATATGAACTTAATTACCAAGTACGGCAAATTTAAATTTGCCGATGTTTCATTTGGATTGGTGATTGGTCGCGAACTGTACACTGCGAGCGTGGGACGAAATGTTATTTTCATATAATATGTAGTAAAGTAAAGTAATATTCAGTGCACGAAATAGCCTTTCTTTTTGTGATTCATTTTTATTTTCTAAAGTAATACTGTGATACGTTACGTCTGCCGTAAATAGTTAAAGGTTAAAGGGTTTTTGACATATTAGAAGTTATTTTTAATTAAAGTGTAAACATATTCAGGTAAATTAAATTAAAAAATGCAAGCCATGGGAGAGAAACTGTAAGTATTGATAAGATCTGATATTGTAAATTATATTTTGCATAATGGGTTTTCATCTATTCCATACGAAGAACAAATTGTTATTAAAAATAAGGGGCGTCCTTTATCTAAAATGTCCCGGCTTATAAATATTAGTGGCGGTAAGGGAAGTAATAGATCATTTTCAAGATCATTGGTACAGCAAGTACTTCATGGCTTACCGGGAGTGGAAATAAAAAACAAAACTTTTCTGTTGGCCTTGCATTTTATTTTCCACAAAATAGGGGCAAACATCAAAATCCGTGGTGTGAATCTGGTTACGATAATTTAAAGGAATTATTTAGGCTTTACATAAACATGATATTTCGAAAGATCATACTTACAGCCAGATTAAATTAGATTTATTTGAAAAACAAAATATCTATGTTCATTAGTAATGCCCAACGTGAAAATGCTATTAAAATAAACGAAATTGTAAAAAATAATCACGCAGTTTTACATCGTTTAATTGATATTGTAATTTTTTAAGGTGTCAGGAATTATCTTTTAGGGGACACGATGAATCGGAGAACTAAGATTAATTATGGTTTTAAAAATACGATTTGGAATTTTCTAATTTACTTTCTGATTCGAAGACATCTAGCGGTGTATCTAAAACAATCCAGAATGAATTAATAGAATCAATTAGTTACATTTTGAGAAAACGTTATTGAATCTGAGATTCTTGCTTTTCACTAGAAGCAGATGAAACTACCGACATATCATGTCATTCATAATTATCAATTGTTGTTCGATACGCGTTACGTGGTAATATCTATGAGAATTTTTTAGGTTTTACAGACGTGAGTAAAAGCCATAAGGCAGAACATATTTTTGGTGTTTTAGAGAATGAATTTAGTTTCAGGGTAATTCGATAAGCGAAGTTATTGATTTATTTATTGTTGCCTTCTAAAATACACCTCCACCAAGTGTTACAACAGTTAAAGATACCATAAGACATTTTCAAACTTCGGGAAGTGTAAACAGTTGTAAAATGTATCATGAAGGTAATGAACCACGTGTTAGACCTGTCGATGAAGAGCATCAAAACACGGATATTGATATTTGTTCTTTAGTGGAAGCTAGTGAACCCTACAATAATGTACAAATTGCTAGGAAAGTTAACGTGAATGCTCGAATTGTCCAGCGAGTTCTCAAAAGGAATGGGTATCACTGTTTTAAGATACAACCAACACAAGAACTTTTTTCGGAAGATAACTTCAGCCGGATGGAGTTTTGTGAATTTATGTTAGATAAAACAGAATGAAAATGTATACTTTTTAAAAAATATTTTATTTTTTGGCTTATTATCTTCATTTTCATTACATAAAAAACACAATCCATTCCGTTGCAGGTATTATTCTCAGAAAAATAAGCACCTCAGTGTTGCAGTGCGAACGCAGCATCGCGCAAATGTTAAATGTTAGGACTGTTATGTTAGGCGAACATATTGTTGGTCCATTTTTTATCGATGGAAACCTAAACGGGCCCAAATATTTACAACATTTTACAGAATGAGATCGTTTCGGCAGTTCGACGCCTTCCTTAGATTTTTACTTCGTACTGAAGTAAGATGGTTTTGTATCTAAAGGGAACTGCTTGAAAAAATTTATAGAATTGATTGATAATTGGTGCTTTTTTAAACGACAAACCTGAAATATAGTAAACATTAATGGAAAATCCCAGTAGTTACTGTATATCATCGTTTAAAAACTTATCTAGAAGTAAAAACACTTCACATTTGTATTTAGGTATAAACATTTAATTAAAAACTTTTTTAAAAAGTGTCAAAATTTATACAGGTGCATAACGTGACGTTTTCGATCTAGTTCAGATCATCGTCAGTGCCTTCTTTTGTAATTGAAGCTAGCACTAAAATTGTAGCTGTGACAACAATATACAGTGGTGTAAAAGCCAAATGGAATAACTTTATTATTTAGGTTACTGTATATATTTATAAAAAATCCCGAAACACGTCAAATTTAAATTATAACTTGACATTCTTTAACGTGAAAATGTAACCCTACCTTCAACCCCCTTAGAATGACAGGTACAACCCCAATTTTTAAAATAGGAAGTATAGGCTTGTGATTTATCATTTGAAAGGTCTTTTCATTCTCCATTCAAAAATGTTGTCGCAAAAAACTAAAATGTAATGCAAAACATAATAAAATGTAGAACTCGAAAAAGAACTATGAGTGTTAATGAAGTAAGGAAAGTGTAGGAAATTGTTTTTTCCTTTGGTTCCTTTGTTCATTAAATTTTGTTTCGTTATTACATTAAATTAGAGGTTTACGAAAATAAATCTGTTTTTTGCTGTATAAATAATACATCAGTAATAAACATAGCATTAATCATTTGTCAACTGAACGGTCTATATGACCAAGCTGTATTTCTGCTGTCTTTCAGAAAAATTTAAAATCTTAATTTCCAGTTTTTGAGAGTTAAGACTTTGGTCCTTTGGCCTTTATACCTTGTTTTCTGTAATAATTTTGAACATAAGTAATTTATTAGCAAGTAATAAGTCTCTGATTATTTTTTAATTCGAATAAATGTTTTAACAAACTTGTTTCATAAGTCTATACCAAGACCAAAAATAGCTGTACTCAAAATGAAAAGATAAATTAACCATATTATTCAAATTAAAAACCTTGACTTCAGATTATCTTCAATAATTATCACCATAAAATATCGAAAGCGTAGGTACAAATCTAAAAGTAATATACTCTCAATTTTTTTGTCGAAGAGCTTAGTAAACCACAGACATGGCCAAACTGGACGACTTCCTGGGCAAGAAAAAAGAAACAGCCCCGGTACTTGACATGTCTAAAACGGTGGTCAATTCAAAAGAAGATTTTCGAAGATTACTAGAAAAAGTGCCTGACTTCAAAATTAGACCAGAAAAAGTTCCTCCAGAGTCTATTAAAATCAAAGAGAAGAATTTTAAGTTTAAGCCGGGCAGACACGAGGGCCGTCCCAAGAAAGAAAAGTACGCTTTCATGGATCCGTTGCCTGTGGAGATGAGTGGTTTGAAATTGGAGGATCTGGCTGCCGTTTCGATCGACTGGAAGATGCTGACGGATCTTCGGCCGAAGAGCAAAGTTGAAGAAAATTATTTTTCTAGGTAAGTTTCTGTATATTTTATTTATTTATTTTATTTTTTATATTTGAAAACATATTTATCAATATTATACTTATTATACTGAACTTTAAAAGCACGCACTGCTTCTAATAGCTCAGATTTCAAATAGCACTCCTCGAAAAAATGTCTTTTTCCACTAGACATTCCTTGATTGCAGCTTTATACCAGCAATTGTTAGGGAATCTCTCTTTACAGAAGTGATACAATGGATTGTTCATTACAATGACATTCCTGTGGCCAATATTTGGTAGTTACATCTCTTTAAACCACAATTCATATGCAACATATTGTTACGAAAGATTTATCCCACATAGAAAAAGTCCATTGGAAAGATACAGATATTCCCATTGAGCCCAGTACGCTTTTATAGTTCCATTTTATTTGGTTATTTCCTGCCAAATAGGTCTTACTCCATTTTTAAGCCATTCTCGTATGACGTTCTAGGGCTTTTATAATAGCTAGGAGCTCTTTTCTGGTAACACAATAATTCTTTTCAGCCTTTCCCATTGTTTTACTAACATATGCAATAACTTTTTCTTCGCCTTCCTGTTCTTGTGATAATACTGCGCCAATACCATGCTGAGATGCGTCACAATCCAACAGAAATCTTCTCGTGGATATGCTAGAATTGGCGATGTTGTAAGTCGTTTTTTTAAATCTATGAAAGCATTCTGACAATCCGGTGTCCAGTCAAATTCAATGTTGTTTTCGGTTAGTCGATAAAGGGGCTTAGCTATGCGGCCAAAATCTTTAATAAATTTTCGGTAATATGAACAGAGTCCAAGAAAACTAAATTCCTTTTTATTTCCTGG